AAAACTGGCATGTGAGTTCTCGAATTATGTGACCATGCAGCTACCTTAATTTTGCTGCCGCAAACAGAAACATTCTTGTCTTCATCGGCTAAGGTTGATTGGTTTGATAATACTAAGGAAGAAACTGCAACACTCAACTTCTGATGGAGTATGTTGCATTGTTCTCGTACGGCATGGACATTCAAGAGGGAAAGTCTCTTGTCATCCATAGCCATAGCTAGATGAGACTCTAAAGTTGAGAACAAGGAGTTTCCAACTTCACTTGTAGTAGAGAGAACGCGCCCAGTTTCAGATTTCTCATCTGCCACAAAGTTCTGCAAGGAAAGAGAATATGAAGATAATACCGTCAAAAAAAATTCTCCCCGCAAGCACATTTTGTGATAATTATTAATGCAATATAAAGGGCTCACCTCTAATATAGAAAAAACATCCTTGTAAATTTCTTTACAACTTGTTACAGCCTCATGCAAATTTTCAGGAATTTGCCGAATCAACAATCTCTCTTTCTGGAGTTCCGAAATCTCTCTGGTCAATTGGCTATTGAACGACACCTCTTCGGTATATTTTCTCTTGGGGTGCAGACATTACACATAGGATGCAGGAAATTAGTCATACATTTTGTTAAAAAATCTACTTGAAAAGAAAAGGCCGAACTGTAGCGTAATTCAGTTAGACAAAGCCCTTCCTAAGGATTATAGCATTATAGCAGCTGGAACCAACCTTTAGTTCATCTCTTTCCTCCATGATAAGTTTCAGCTGTCTCTGAAGGCTTTGCTTCTCTTGAGTGTAATTCTCCGTGCAGTCCTGTAATGAGCCATATTTAACAAGCTAATGTAGCTATGGCTTGAAAAGTGAAACTAAAAATTAATGCCCAAAAATATTGAATTATGCAGTACCTCACTAATCGGAAATGATTGAACTTTCCTTGCAGGAGTCATATGAAGTGAGTCAAGGTCGGTTACAAAGCCTTTGTTCAGCTTCATCCATGTATCTTCATCAGCAAAATCATCAAATGTATCAGGAAGTGGGCTACACTCTGGTAGCCTCGAGTAGTCTGACCTCTTAGCAACAAATACATTGGGAGGTGCTTTAAAACATGGGGTACTAAAAGCATCTTCTGGTCGTATGCTGTTACTATTGATACTTCCATCTAAGCGCCGTTCTTCGACACCATCCTACCATCCAGCAGAGTTTTAAATGACAATTAATTAGACGAGAACATATTAATACAATCACAAATATGTAAGTGATCAATAATGCAAGCAATCAGTAAGTGTTCATAGTATCACAAGCAAAAAATATTAAATTAAGGTTCACAAGCCCCATTCCATCGACCCTTGCTTTCCGGCTTCTTGTTGAAGTCACCTCTTTCCTTTAAGGATCTAGTATAGAGGTGGAGTTTAAATTTCATCAAGTTCTATTGCAGCTTATTATAATGAATATACATACAAGTCCAAAAATTCCAATCATAATGTACACCCAGCAAAGAGGAACAATACTTCAATTATCTCTAAATGAAAATAGAACTGAATCTCCTTAATCCCCCTCAACGGCTGCAATTCAATGAAGTATGGATGAGTAACTCCACCACAATATGAGAACCATTGCAGTTCAATTGTGCTGATCCAGAAATATCAGCAAGAAAAATCTTATGATCAATCTTTGTGCTTTGCTTCTATAGGCAGAAGCTTTACAGAGCTGGTAAGATGTTAGGCACTAGTTCTGAGAGGAAAAAATAGAGAGGAAGACTGTAGATTCAGAAGAAAAAGATAAGGCAGCAGAATGAGTGCAAGTTCATCAGAAGCATTACATTGAAAGAGCTTCGATCTGAGTCTGACAAAGTGACCAGATTGCTAAGATTGTCAATTTTCATTTGTTGCTCCTTAATGCAATCATCACGTACTTTGTGTGATCTCCTCTCTTCTTCTAATTGTGCAGCAAGCTTCTCCCGCTCCAATTCATACTGATAAAGATTGACCAAAGATTGTTAGAACAGCAGAAAACATTAAAATGCTTTAAGCCTGAAAAGTAAGACAAAGAAGTTATACCTTGAGCATGTCATTCCTAAGTTTCAAGATTTGTTGCTCCAATATTTCTGCATGAGACCCCTGCATAACTATGTCTTAGTTAATTGAACTATCTCTCTCTCTCTCTCTCTCTCTCTCTCTCTCTCTCTCTCTCCATATAGAAAATCATCAAACCTGAAGTTTTCTCCGCAATTCCTCAATTTCTAGTTTTTGTCGCTTCAATAAAGCAGCATCTGTCAGTATCTGATAAACATAAAAACAACTCCATCAAATTCAATGAAGTACTTTGGACTTATCAATCTAGAATGAAGGTACCTTTCTGATTTTGAGTTTGTTACATATTTAATAAATGGTTATTCACTATCTTTTCATGCAGATGCTTCTAGTTTAGAAAAGCAATGCAAACCAAGATCATACTTAAGCATTTGTTGTGGAAAGTGCTAGGGAAACAAATTACTTAATGACATGAGTTATGACGCTTTAATGTTTGCAGATCTTCTTCATACTTCGCATGCCACACCTCCAGGGAGTAACAATATTAAAATTACTATAGGATCAAGAAGCTGACCTCATTCACTTGAACGCAGTTTGTAATCCGCTTAGCTCTGCTAGCAAACTGAAGTGTCCCTTTTGTTTCCTCTATGTGAATCTATAAACACCAACAAAGTTCTACATCAGATCAGATTATTAAAGTAAATATAATCGCAATTATAAATGAAGTAGTTAAACACCTCTTCCGGTGCCAAAGTGCAAATAATTGAAGTCTTTGCATTTCCCCCAAGGGCAGGCTGAAGAATGCGAGTGAGCTTACTATCACGATATGGAATGTGACCCCTGCAAACAAAATATTGTGAGTTGGTATACGTACGCCAATCACTATATTTATTCAGTAAGGAAACTGCAACTACCTTTGCTTTCCACCCTCGCTCAATTTGTTGATCACATTCCCAAGAATCATTAAGCTCTTGTTAATATGTTTGCCTTCCTTCAAACGTACTCCTCCTGCTCCAGTTTTAGCTACTCTTTCGGATCCAGCTAAATCGACTAAATTCTGGGTCGAAGAAGACATGCAAGCAGTGACAAAAAACAAATAATATAATACTTAATTCCGAATTGTAGAAAATGTGAAATTACTAAATCTAGGATCAGCTACCTGAATAGGGGTTCTAGTATTCAATCAAATTAATAAGCTACATTGGTGGTTATAATTTGGGAACTTAACCTTCGACAAAGCTTAAAACATAGAAGTAACAGAACATTTCATAGCATCCGAACTTATCAGCTATTATCGTGTTTAGTTTGGTTATTAGTTTGTTGTTATATTATAATTGGTGCAATAACTGCTACCAATGAGTCTTTCTCACTAGCGCATAGTGGTTTATATAAGTGAGTTCTAATCTTTCGTAAAAGACACCTCCAGAAAATAGTTTTAAATGCTATAAGCTGGGGAAGATTTTTCGAGAAGAACTTGTTCTTGAAGTACCTCGTGTTATTTTCTTTATTTCATGGTTTAGTACTACTTATTCTTTAAAATTCCATAAAGTTGGACATAAGGTTCTAGAAGACAATGATACTAAATAAAACAGTTCAAATGGATGAATACAAACCAGGACAGAGACACGGATAGCATCATCTGAACTCGAACCATCTCTACACTTGTTGTCCTTTCCTTTGCTTTCAATTACCTGGTTCATAAAGAATTAATGAGCTATATACGAAGCGTAATGTACTCAACTCAGAGGAAGTATGCAAGTTTATATTCTAGTTCCTCTAACAATGAAAAACCATACCATCCTAAATATAGTGTGCGATCTACTACTGCGCGCATTCATGTTGGTATCACCAAAATGCCTCTTAGCTTCAAGAAAACACATCAGACTGAGCATTTGACAACATAAATACAAGAAAGCTGACAAGACAGCTTCATGGTATTTTTAAATGCATTGGTATTCGAGGATGAACCTTCTCCTAGTTGGATGAGATTAAGCACTTGGTCAGCACTGTTCACGATTTCCTCCCTCAGACCAGCCACAAATACTCCTCGCTGAAGATAATAAAATATTAATATTTTTCATGCATCACATAAATTATTAAATTTCCCATAGGTTATTTCAGCTCAACATACCTCCAGGCTTTCATGAATTTGAAGTTTTTGATTCTCCACGGAAAAAAGATCATTAATGTCTTCATTGTAAATTTCCATGTAGGAAACTCGAACCAAAAACTCCCTGTCAGATGTCTAAAACAAAAAACACTAAAATTCATTAGGTATGCACTACAAATGCTAATGTGATCAAGAAATTATCTTTGGAAAAGAACAGGTCAACTTGCCTTCTGCATTTTTGCAAAAATGTCCTTAACAGCTCTTTGGATGATTCCTGGGTCATTTTCTGAACCATTCATGGTAAAAGTTTTCCCACTGCTCGTCTGCCCATATGCAAATGCAGTTCCTGCATTGAGAAAAGTTGCCCCCAACTCTCAGTCAAGTTGCATTAAATATATCTATGGACAATCCTAGTGAACAAAAAGGGAAGAAGAAAAAGTCTAGTTAAAAACCCGATCCTCAGATCTACGTTATCAAAGACAATATCATATCCTAAAAGTGAACGGACAACACTTAATCGGAAAGGCACCTTAAAAAAAAAAAAAACGTAGTTTTTCAAATAGAAATGTTCTCTATGTTACTGGATTCGTCTGCTTCCGAGATCCCTATATAAACCATAGAAATATTTTCCCCATGGAGTTTCAACTATCGATAAGGCGGGCATATCAATATTCAATGTACTCCGAGCTGTCGGAGTTGGAATAAGCTTGGCAGCTGATCCCAAATCTTTCTGATAATGGAACAGATTGCACCTATATCATCAATCTAGAAGATGATTTCTTTACAATTAGAACTGGCATTTAATATGAACCTCCTGTCAAATGTAGAGCAGCTTACACCTTCTTTGCCCGTTTATTCTATAAACCCAATAACAATTCAGCTATTCAAGTTCAAACTATAATCATCTCACACAAAAACCAAACAATAAAAAGTCCATTGAAACGAAAAGTATTACAGATATCAAAAACATTAAGAACACCGAGCCCTTACCGTTAAACCCATCTACGGCAGCACTAATGATGTCCTTCGTCAGAAGCTCGTAAATCCTCCCATTACTGCATTCCTGATCAAACACATGATCTGCAAAAGTCGAAACGAAAAAAAGCACAAAAACAATAGTTTCAAATGATATTTTCAAGATACACACTTCAAACTCACACAAAATCGCGACCAATGAATCGCATTTCTTACCAAAAGCGAAGGAAAGCCCAGAAATTGGAGTCCCGTGAGATCTGTGCAGCGAGATGCGATTGCTTTCAACTTTCCAGTGAAATCCATTAATGGATTCTTGGCTTACTGATGGCCTCAGCCTAACTGCTACGCATATCTTCTCCATTTACACGCACAATCTTGATGTGATTTTTGAATTTGGGTTGATTTTGTTCTTGTTTTTTTTTTTTTTTTTTTTTTTTT